ATCATCAGAAATCTGTACCTCTGTCATATTTACTGTTTCTTCATGTGAACCAATCAGATCGTTTGGACAGATTCACCAGTGCTACAGCGTCTACACTGGTTGTTATGGTAACACTCAGGTATGGGACATGCATCATCCTGCCCTGGACCATCTAGTGTGAACCCCACCTCTAAAGCACCATCTGCTGTCACGTCGTCCTCCACGGTGCTCGGCTCGTAGCGGGGTCGGAGGTCATACGCGTGATTATAAACCTGACTGTTGTGATGCTTCATCACTGCATTTCTGTGATGTTTGACCTCCCACTGTTGTGTTTATTGTTGTGCGACATCTATTGATTCTGTCGAGCTGACCTTCAGCAGCGCTGCAGTTATCATGTCCTGGCTGTTAAACCGTACTTGGCCTTTACCTCTGCACGTTTCAGACTTACACGTGGATTTGACCTTCATAATGTGCACACAGTTGAGATGTACCAGTGTTCCCAGTGCCTGACTATGGTTTGTTTTTCCCACTGTGTGACCCTGATGGGACACTGATGAACTATTACTAGAGAATGGTAGCAACAGTGTTGCAGTAAATTCACCAGGTAACAGGATGTCTTTGTCTTTCACTTGTATCCATAATTTTCCTGATAACTGCTTTGATCCCATATCGAGGCTCTTACTGGGGCTGCTGGTGTGTGAACACACGGAGCTTTAGCTGTAGGTGTCAAAGGTTTTCAAGGTTTGATTATAGGGCTGGATATCGTCACTGGTTTCTAGAATCGATTCAATTCTGATTCACAAGGTCACGAATCAATTCGATTTGATTTGAATCTGGGAAATTTTGACAGTCAGAAATATTATAATTCAGATCAGTACATTTACATATTTTTGTATCTATAAAAAGGAAGCTGACACTTTCCAGACTTTATCAAAGGTGTGAGCATCACAGCAGAGGCCTTTGTGTCAAAGTAGCTGAAGATAAAACACAGAAACACATGAAGGTGGTTTTCCTGTTCTGGATTTTATAAAAATATTCTGCAGTACATCAAAAACAAAAGAAAACCATTAATCAACACATGAACATCACCTCTGACGTTACAGAGGTTTTATTAGAGACACCGCTGAGCATTTTGCATTTTGTATAATTTTAAAAAGTTTCAATTTGTTCAGTATTGA